TTGGTTAAGCATCCAACTTTTTATTTTTAAGATTTTATTTATTTATTTGACAGAGAAAACCAGAGAGCACAACTGGTGGGAATGGCAGAGGGAGAGGGAGAAGCAGGCTTACTACTCAACAGGGAGGGAGGGCTTGATCCAGAACTCAATTCCAGGCCTCTGGGATCATAACCTGAGCCAACGGCAGACACTTAACCGACCCAGACACCCCAAGCATCTGACTCTTGATTTCAACTCAGGTCATGATCTCAGGGAGATTTAGCCCCACATTGAGCTCCATATTGAGCATGGAGCCTGCTTGAGATTCTCTCTGTCTCCCTCTGCCCCTCCCCACAGCTCTAGGCATATGTGTACTCTCTCTCTCTCTCAATAATAATAATAAAATAAAAATAAAAAGGTTTCTTAATAGGTAGGTTTTCCTAAGTTAACACAGTTTTGTGTTAATATAGCAATAGCCAAGGAATCTGGCGTGGCGACCAGAAACCAGTGTAGTCAGAACAATATTTCAGTTATTCCTATCTTCTCAGGATTCTAAATATACAAATTGTAATATTTTATGCCATTTTATCTCATTTCTTTCCATCTTTTTTCTTTCATCGATGAATCATAATCTCATTTCTAGAAGAAAAAATTTGAACATACAAGAGGATAGAGGGCCTGAGATATAAGCCAGTAAAGCTATATATGTTTTTAAAGTATATAGAGTCACCTAATTTTATGACTTTCTTCTTCCTATTCTCTCATTTGCCAGCCAACCCTCTTTAGCCTCATCTGGTTCAGAGTAGAAAGGATTTTCTTGATTTGAAATGGAAACAGGGTGTCTAGGTCTGACACATAGAGGAACTCCAAAAATATTGTTGAATAAGTGAATGAGAACAACATCTAAAAAAGGGTAGCCACTCTACACTTTTTCATGAGTGGGTCTGTTTCAACATTTCATGGACTCCTGCACACTTACAGCTACTCCATTTGAAATGCAGCTGAACTGTTTAATCTCTGTTCATAGCAAAAACTTCTCAAGATTGTATTTAAAGAGCCTGCTAGTCTGACATATAATGGAATTAAACAGCTGCAGGCTTATTTGGGGGCTATAAAGCAAAAAATCACGTTGAGGCTACTTTGATGAGCTGCGAATATCAAAACAACTCTTTGTGGAATGATGAAGAAAGGAATTGTGTTTTTATAGACCATATGCAGAATGGAGAGAGTCAGGCTGAGTATTAGAAGGAAATTTTTTGTTTAATTTTCACATATCACCATAACTCCACCTGCCACAAATGGCGGTAAACATGGTAATAAATAAAACATACAAATATATAAAATCATGTAACCATGACCAGAATCAAGATATGGAATATTTCTGTCATTCAAAGATGTCTCTCATGCCCTCTGTGCATTTAACTGCCTAAATTTAGCCAGCCCCTAGCCCATTTGCTATTCCTAGAGTTTTGTCTTTTCTAGAATTCATGTAAATGGAATCATAGAGCATATAATATTTTCTTCTTGGCTTCTTTATCTTTGTCGTTGCATGTATCAGTAGTTAATTCCTTTTATTGCAGAGTCATATTCAATTGGATAGAATTACCAAAATGTTTTTATTCATTCACTGGTTGCTAAACATTTGGGCTGTTAACAATTTTTGGTTATTTTGAATTAAGCTGCTATGAATATTCATGTACAGGTCTTTTTTTTATCAACGAAGTTCATTTTATTAAATTCTTTCTTCTAGGCTTCCTACTTTCAGTGCCCTATGAAATCTTTGCCTTGCCTAATCCAAGCTACAAAGATTTTATTCTGTTTTATTCTAGAAGCTTTTTATACATTAAGCTTTTATATTTAAGTCTATGATGCATTTTGAGTGAATGTATGTAGTATAAGGATCAGGTTCCTATTTTTGGTACTTGGCTATTCAATTGTTTCAGAACCATTTGTTCCAAAGATTTTCCTTTGCCCATTGAATTATGTTGCCACCTTTGTCAAAATAAGTTGACCATATATGCGTGCATCTACTTCTGATATCTAGTCTTTTGCAATTGTTTATATTTCTATCCTTAGGCCAATGCCACACTCTTTTGATTATTGTAATTTATAATAGGTCTTTGAATCAGGTAGTATAAACCCTGCAACTTGGTTCTTTTTAAAACATATTTGGACTTAGAGACTAGTGTTTAGTCAAACTAGTATACATAATGCTGATGTCCTGATCCATAACAAAATGAACTATGATAAAAGAAGTGGGTTTGTCTTTCTTTCTTTCTCTTTCTCCTTTTTTTTTTGTTTCTTTCTTTTTTTTTTTTTTTTTTTTTTTTTGGTACAGTGGAAGAAAAGACACAGCTCTTTTTGGCACAATGATCCATAATGAAATAAAAGGTTTAGAGGTCAGAGCAGTGATGCATATCTTTTCACTGATTTCATATACATTTTACCCAAATGCTAATGAATGGTTTTAATGACTAGCTTTCTGTACCCCTCCACAACCCTATCTCCTGGATCCAAAGGGACCTTTTCAATTTTCACTTCAAGCACAAATTAAGGGGAAATCAGATGGAATAAAATGAGCGACAGCCTAAGGCAAAGGAAAAAAGGTGGGGAGGAGAAAGCAGATGCCTGGGTGGAGGACAAAGGGCCTAAGAGACTTAGGGGAGTGCTAAGTCTGAGGAAAGTAAAAGAAAGACCCGTAACCAGGGCTCCTTTTGCAAATCCAAGGTGAACTCTCTCTAAGCTCATAAGCTGTGTTATAGTTTTGGCAGGACTCATTGCCCAGACCGGACTCAGAGCTGCTTTGGCTAATTGTAATAACAGTTTCTCAATAATGGATTGGATCAGTTTTCTCTTCTAAACCTGTACAATGGAGTAAGAAGATTGCATGTTTAAAGGACAAAAAAATAAGTGCTCTATTTTTGTTTCTGAAATGGCATTAATTCAATGTGAAGGGGAAAAAATCTTTCATAAGATGTCTGGACATTTTAGAGTAACTATTTATAATTTAATATCTAAATGTTTTTAGATCAAGCAATGTTTAGAAATTTAAAAATCTCTAACATTAAAAATTAAATGGTCAATAACAGTGTTGATTTGTCTGTTCTTCATCAAGCTCTATTTGGAGCATGTGTCCATCAAATTTAGGAAGAGTCAGGTGGATATTTTCTGATTAAATAAGGACAATCAAAAGCAGAGAATCTGATTCATTTTTAATGGCTTAATGATTATTATTGTTTTGCTTCAGGGTATCTAGCCATAATAGGATGCACACACACAACCCGTAAGTCCATTTCAGCACAAACCAAATAATCAGTTTCCTTCTCTTGACTTTAATTTTCTTGTCATATTGCCATTTTTTTCTTAATACCATGCAGTGTTTCATTTTTGTACCTTGATCCATGCTTATATTGACACACCTATAAAGTTAAATGTCTATATTTTGAAAGATCCCAATGGCCTGAGTTCTCTGGGTTCCCAAACCTTAAAGCTTCCCAACTGAAATACTCTGAGAATCCTTGAGCTTCTCTTCCTTTCTAGCCTTCCTGGCAGAAAGAGTAAGTGCTAGAAAACTGGAGGCAGAAGAAACATGTTAGCCAAGAGGCTGTGAATGGACTTTGGGAATCTCAGATGTTAAAGGGGAAGTGACAGGGCACTGCGATGCAGTCCATGACATTTGAGGGTAAGAAGAGAAGACTGGAAAGAAGACGGGTTAAGTTTAAGGGAGACTCAGGTAAGGAAAATGGGTAGGGAATTCTGTTGTTCATCCTGGCCTCACTCTCTTGGGGGTCAATCTTGGGCACAGTAAAATCTCATGGGCTTGGAACGCATTCTCTCTCTCATCTGCTAACTGTATCTAAAAATCCTTTTATATAACAGTCTTTCATTCCACTAGTGAAATAAGGGATTGAAAAATAGAAATATTTGAGATAGTTAGATTGGCGTATGTATATTACAGTCAACCTATAAATGAGGATCCCAGAAATATCCTTCTTTTGGAACACAGTTTGTAGCTCATAGAAATGAGCTATAAACCAGATACATGAGGAAAGCTGCACAGGGTAGAGGACCACTCTCAGGAAAAAAAAGGGAACAGGTCTCCAGGGGAGACCTGGTACAAGTTTCTGAACTTGAGAGTGCTTTAGAATATAAAGTGCTGGCAGGAGCCCTGTGAAGCAGAGGAAGGACCACCCCAGTTCACAAAGGAAAATACAGAGATGCGAAGTGGTTCAGTGGCTTGCCAGTCATCAGGGCAGCGGTGGATGGTAGGGCTGTGAGAGGCTCAAACTGGGTCATATGCTTCTAAATCTCATTCATCTGTCATTTTGAGGACAGACCTTATTTACAAGAGACTATACCACCAAGCTTCAACAGTGCACTTAAAATTACATTACTGTATTCAACTATTAACTCATTCAAGAGAGAAGTTTTAATCTTTAAGTTATTTTCTCATCTCATTTAGCAATACATAGAACGTCACCTTACAGGGGCCCCTCGGTGGCCCAGTCAGTTAAGCATCCAACTTTTGGTTTTGCCTCAGGTCATGATCTCATGAGTCCTGAGACGGAGCTCACTGTTGGGCTCCTCACTCAACGGGGAGTCTCCTTGAAATTCTCTCCATCTCCCTTCCCCAGTCTTCTCTCTAAAATAAATAAACAAATCTTTAAAATAAAAGAGTCACATTACATTGACTGAATTGAGGGAAAAACTACTATCCAAGAACATGTATTTCTGTACAAGTTTTTTCCTTAAGTTGATTTTTATAATCTAGAAGGATGGCTTACTAATTTTTCAAAACTGTGTTTTCACGTATATATATTTTTTCATGTATATTTTTAATGAAAAAATGGTTTGCTTCCTTCTTTTCATCACTGTGAGAATAAAAAGTCTTCAACCTTTGCTTGAATAATTTTCTCTTCTGATTAAGCTATGAATGGTACTAATCATGAAAACGGTTATAATTAGTGCCCACTGCCTAAAGCAGAATTCTCAGAAAGTTCAGAACTGAACAGGGCAAGATGTCACTTGAGATATTTTTTCCCCTCTGGTTGTTCACATAATTTGACTTCAATGTTGCCATCACTGAAAGCTTCTCCTTTGGTCTCCTCTACAGGATTCTCTCTTCGGGAAAATATTGCTTTCTTCTGCATCATTGTAATTCCTGAATTTCCATGCCTACGTGCTGGAGATAAGGTTTCTTTTACTATGCAATAACAAACTGCAGATACAAAATTTTTTTTGAAGTTTTCATTCATAAATGCGTAAACAATGGGATTACAGATGGAATTGGAAAATCCAATTATTTGCACTATAGCAAAAATCATCTTGATTGTGACATCATCATATTCCTTTTCAAAATTGCCTGAAATAAAAAGTAATAATATAGAATGCATTATGTTCTAATGAGCACGAAATAAAATTATCATCTATCTTTACAGAACACTTATACTTTAACAAGTGGCTAAAGGTGTGAAAAACTCTGAAGACAATTTTGGGAAGAGCCATCTGATGTCTGAAGAAAAATAAGCTCTGTGATGAGTCCTCATTCTTGGAGAGTCTTGGCTCACAAGCACAGCCTGGCAGCCAGCACAAATTTAGGGAGCTTACTGCATTTCAATTTGATTCCAAGCTTCATATAAACTGGAAGCAGCAGTTACCATTCAAATGTTTGCTTGTGTTATAGAAACACAATCACCTGAGAATTATCTTAAGTCTCAGATTATCAAAGGTAATACACTGAGGATCTGGCTGAAATCATAGGTGTAATTAAATTCACGTGGTTCAAGTCAATATTCTAAATCTAAACAGAACATTCATAGGATTTGGAGAACAAAATGGAGAACATTTCCCCAGTTTGAATGGCTTTGGGAGAACAGGAAAGCATAGCATGAAAGAAGACTCTCCAAAATGTTTCTGTACCTTCTGTAATTATTAAATATTTGGTCAAAGTCATACATAATTACCTACCATGTAATGATCTGGTGGGTCTTGAAAACATGAAAGAAACCCATTAAATGTTTGCTATTTGATTACCCAAGTGAATAGTAACAAATTTCAATGATTCATTGTCCATCTAACAGGAAATGAACTAGAAGTCTTACCAAATGAGAATGAAAAGCACTTACTGTATTCCATCATCATGTGAACAACATGGAAAGGTGCCCAGCACACAGCAAAGAGAGCCACTACTGTCACCATCATAATGACAGCTCGCTTCTTCTTCCTGGACCCACAAAGATTATATTGTATTAGTTAACTTCTTGGCAAATTTGTCAAATTGATATCAAAATTATTAAATAAGGTTTGAGCCTAAATCTCTCAACCATAATTTTTCAAATATTAATATAGCTCATTGATAGGAAAACTGTGGGCTGTTTCTCATCTGTTCCCATTGCTATTACCTCATCCCTATATTTCTCATATTATAAACATCCTTATGATGTATGCTCATGATATGTCTAGCCCTCTGCTAGATGCTTTCCAGGGATTATATCATTCATCTTCTCAGTAAGCCATTTGACAGATGCAGAAACTGAGGCACAGAAGGTTAAGTAACTTGCAAAGTCAGACGACCAGTCAGATATCCAAGGCATTTAAACTGTAAGGGTTAGTGTGGACTTAAAGTTAGGCAGCTTAACTCAGTGCTTAAGCCCTTATTCACTTTTTGTTGAAGAGCACTCTTCTGAGGAAGTGGGAGAGCTCAAGCAGTAAGTCCCAAGGTTCTCAACAGTCCAGCACTCTGCAGACAGGGAGGATGGCTTCGTACAAACTGGGCACTAGAGGTCGCTGCACACTTGAAGAAATGAGAAAATACCGCCCCACAAAACATAAGGCTTTGGTTTTGGTTTTTGTGTTTAATAGCCATTCCATGTAGATTATAAAATAAGCCATATTGACTACAAGTACCATATCAGTAAATTAGGTTTAAAATTTGTATTAATGAATATGATCAGAAAAGAAAGGCATTATTATTATGTCAATAATAATAATTTAAAGTAAATAGAATACTCTGGTCACCAAAGAACTTTCATACATATCTCATGTATTTTAGCATCACTTTTGGGTAGGAGGAAGTGAGAATGGATATTTATTAAGCTCCCTGGTACCCATGAAGAAAGCAGGAGCCCTAGGATTTAAAGAGACTCATCCACACCAAGTGTCTGGTGTGGTGGGGAGAGCACCACAGTTCTTCCTACCATGTCATACTGACATGTAGATGAAAATGTAAGAATTATCTAAATTCCTGCCATACCTAAAAGCTCCAAAGTTCAAAGTCAGCCCATGCCCTAAACACAAATTACAAATGGCAGTTTGGATAAATTTCCCAGGAATTCAGAGATCCCTGGCAACTGCTCCTTCAAGCCTGACTAATTACAAATATTTTAAACAGAGGTGAATATTTCATTAAACAGACCTGGTTATTTTTGACATTTCTTTTCCATGAATAGTTCGAAGCACTGAGCAATCCCCCACTCTTTTCTTTATCCAAAGTTCATAACCAATTTTACTGTATAGGATAAGCATCAGCATAAGAGGCAGGAGGAAGAGGATGACGAGGATGAAGGTGGTATAGATCTTCTGGTGTGCAGGGCTGGCCCACTCTTCCAAACAGCAGATGTGTTCTTTTTCATATAAGAAATCATACTTAATCTTTAACATAAAAACAATTCAGTTAGAGGAGCCAGAGTCACCATAAAAAAAAAAAAAACAGAAAGCAGCCAAGTTGTATTGTAAGGCTGCATTTTTCAGATCCTATGTATTTACTGTGGGTCCATATTCAGGTGAGATACAATTTTGATTGTTCTTTTGTTGTGAAGGTCTTTTTTCCATTTCATTCATTTCTTATATTCTTAATGGTTTTATACTTCCTTTTTTATTTTTTTATTTTTTTCCTTTTCTATTTTTAAGTGGAATTGAGATCAATAGCTTGTTTATTTTTTTAATCTTTCTCAACTTTTTACCTTAGAGCCATAATTTTCCAATTCAGGGAAAGAGCTATATACTCTTTGACCAAAATATGTATGTATACAGTCCAGATAAAGAACATTATTTCCAGATAAATAATATACTACAACAACCAAAGTATGTAGGAAAATAATATTTTGTACTTGCATGCCACCTACTTTAATGTTACATTATTTTGCTTCCTCAATTGTTGAAGAGTCAAATTTCGACAAGGCATCAGATGTCTTTGAATTGATGGGTACTGAACGCCTATATTCTGTTACTGCTATTTCAGATTGGAACAATCAGATTGCTTATAAAGATTTTAGAAAGGTAACTGATAGCTTTAAGATTCTGAGATGAAAAAAAAAGATTCTGAGATGAATAAGAAATTGGGATTCAAACTATTGTCAGTCTACAAATATTCAGACTCAGCTATAAGCCTTTGAGGTAGATATTTTACAGAAAGGCAATGTCTCTTTATTAACACTATTTCTGACAGACTCATGAGTTCAAAATATTATTAATAATAATATCAGTAATAATAGAAAATGCTAATAAGGGACAAACTAAGCAAAGCATATTCAAGAGTCATTTATCTAGATAATAAGAACAAAAGAGAATTTAGCAAAACTACTGCCATTTTAGTTAAAGCTTTCCAGATGAAGAAAACCTAGGTCTTAGACTTATTTCTTCCTTCATTCCTGCAAATTTTATCACCAATCTTTAGTCAATTGAAATGGGGAAAAAGCTTTCTGGTATACTCATCAAAGGTAGGAGAATTCAAGCTCTGATCTAGGTGTTTTTTACAAATACAACAAGAGATGAAAACACTTATTGAATAATAAGCTGAAGATCCAAACTCCCTGGGAACAGGATATAAAGTGAAATTCATTCTGACTCCATGTAGGCAAAGGCCGCAAAGGGCAACAACCATGGGGGCAACATATTGGCACATCTTAAAGCATAAGCTATACTAGCAGTCTCCAAATAGGTGCATGCTGCTCTGGGGACAAGCAAAACACCATGGGCAGATGGTTTTAAGGGAGCCAATTTCAGATTTTCTATTCACAACCATACAGTTCACTAAAATTCTACTACCTCAGGATGCCTGGGTGGCTCGGTCGGGTAAGCATCTGACTCTTGATTTTGGCTCAGGTCATGATCTCAGGGTCCTGGGATCTGACCCTGAGTCAAGCTCTGCGTTCAGCAGGGAGTCGGCTTGGGATTCCTCCTCCCTCAGCCCCTCCTCCTGCTCATGCTCTCTAACGCTCTCTAAAATTAATTAATTAATTAATTAATTAATTAATTTTAAAAAATCTTGAAAAATCCTACTACCTAGGAGAAGTCTGAGACTGAGCATTGTGCTGGCTCTCCATTCCCAGTTTCTTTTTTTTTTTTTAAATTTTTTATGATAGTCACAGAGAGAGAGAGAGAGAGAGAGAGAGAGAGAGAGAGAGGCAGAGACACAGGCAGAGGGAGAAGCAGGCTCCATGCACCGGGAGCCTGACGTGGGATTCGATCCCGGGTCTCCAGGATCGCGCCCTGGGCCAAAGGCAGGCGCCAAACCGCTGCGCCACCCAGGGATCCCCATTCCCAGTTTCTTGTTTCTAATTCCTCTTCTCCCTATCTATATGTCAGGTCTCTTACAATGAGGCATTGAAAAAGGAGGTGGTTTGAATTACTGATGTCAGGGAAGCCACCTTGATCAAGAAACCATAAATACATGATAGGGCTTTGTGCTTTTCCCTATCTTAAACATATTTCTATTCCGGGTAAAGCTTGGCATTAGAAAAAAAGGTGCTTTGACAGGTATTGAAATGTTGTGAATTCACATGTTTCATACAATGAAAGGACAGAAATGATGACAATTTTAATTTAACCACGTTGTTACTTCCGTCCCCTGAACATTGTCAAATACATCTCTCCTGAGAAAGAGCCCAGTGACAGCAGAGCAAAGAGAACTTCATTAGGTGGAAATGGTGAACTCAGGGGTGCTTTGTTTCATCCAGGTGAGAAATTCAGGCTTTGTGCATGCTCACACACACTCTCTCTAGTAGAAATTTAGAAGTGAGAAGGGGACTGTGGGGATGCATATTAATTCATTTATCTGGTATGAAAAATGAAATCACACTTCTTCCTGACAGAAATTTGATTTGGCTGATTTGGCTGATAGTGAGGAGCAGCTTTGCCAGTTACATATGCATTTTTTCTACAAAGTAAATAAGTTACATATTTAAACTATATTTAGAGCATATGATAAAATAATTTTATTTAAAAAAATAGACAAATCCCCTTGTGTCTATGAGCCAGGAAGGGACCCCACAAATGAGTACTGGGTTGGGTCACTTATGAGAGGACTCCATTGGTACAGGATTCCTAATGGGATAAGGACAGCCTTGGAGAAAAGAACAGAGCACATACAACTATGTGTGGAAGCTCACAGGTCTTGATGAGCAGCCTGCTGGAGAAAGGAATAACAGTCAGAAGCCTCAGTGTTGTTATCTTTGGAAAACCCCACAAGTAAAGAATTGATCATGGGCAACAGTCACCTGCAGAGAGCACAATACCCAAGGACACCTGCCCCTTCCTCTCCCTACCCCTCTCACCACTGCGCAAGGAGCCAGAGGCAGTCAATTGAATGGAAAAAGAGAAATGCACAATAAGGAAGCAGAGAGGAAGGGGATCGTGCCCCCTTTCCTAAAACAGCACAAGCTGAGGAGAGGGAGACATTTTGCATCAATTGAGAGTGTAGATTTATGTGATTATGACACTGGGCATTTTAATAACAGAACTAACACTGTTGTGACTGCAAGTCATCAGAGGAATGTTGCTCTCTGCATGGCTGGAAGAGTTACAGGGCCTGCTTGGGGCTGCATCCACAACATTGGGTCAGAGTACTAGGAAGTCCTCAGATCACATTTTTAAAGGTAGCAAGGGACAGAATAAAATTACTTCCTGCTCTCACCCGAGTCCAGATCATTCAGTATACTGGCTACATAAAAAAATCAAGTCGTATTTTAAATATGCCCTTGCCTGAGGGCTCATTTACTATCCTTGCCAGTGGACATCACATATCTAGTAAAATTTCACATTTATCAATTTAAAAAGGTATAAAGAAAAAATAAAAATAAATAAAAAGGTATAAAGAGGATAGACAGTTCAAAAAATTATCTTAGTGGGGTGTGAACAACTCTCTACTGCCTTTGAAGGCTACTGTCTGGGCTAGATCACTTAGACAGGAGATACTGAAGTATGCATGCCCTATCCAAGAGACTGGGTCGCTAAAAACAGCACGGTGCTCCCTCTACTGTGAATCCCCACGCAATGCTGGGCCCATCTGATAAAGGTGGGAGGGAAGGAGAGAGTTCAGATGAAATGATCCTGTGTCATGTTCCAATTCAAATTTCAATTTGTTAATATATGGGAGGCAGATAAGAAAGGACTTATGAAGGAGAATCAATTCATAAGCAGATAATTAATGACAAATTCTTAATGTGATTTCAAAATTTAAAAAAATCTAGAGCAAACATTGAATTCTTAAAATGTAGTAAGATTCTGGGGGTCACTAGGACAGGCATGCTCAGCTGGCAGGAAAATGTACAAAGTGATCCTGGTGAATTTTCTTATAAGTATGAAAGTCTTAACAATATAAGATCAAGGGAGAGCTAGATACACAGAGCGGGGAAAAAGTCTCAAAACAAATCACTGCACTTGAAAAGTTTCCAGTGAAACTTTTCCAGTAGCTGGGGTCATACAAATTTGCAGGAAGAAAATGGATTATCATTGAGAGGGCTGGGAAACATCTCAATAATATGACTCTCAATAATCAACCCCAGTGCTGAATCTACCTCAAGGCGTTGCACGTGCCACATGGGCGATCCCACGATGACTGCCACCAGCCAGACCACACCTGCCAAGACATTAAAATCATGAGAATATGGTTCAGTCTGCGAAGCAAAACACATGCATGCTTATGCCATAAAGCAGATGGTCTAAGCATAAAGACTCCTCATATGTGATCATCTCTGCCCTGGAACAGTGCGGTGGCCTACATGTCCTCACAGCCACTCTTTCACTATCCTCAAAACTGCTGCTGGAATAGTCTTCCTGAACCATTTTAAAATGCTTAATTAAAACTCCTTAAACATTTAAAAAAAATCCTGACTAGTATTTCAGTGCCTATAAGATAAAACTCAAACCCTTAACACGGTCCCCGAGGTTCTCTTACTTGCTTCTCTCTCCTCTTACATTTCTGTCCATGTTCTTCAAACCAGGGTCCTCTACTGAAGAATTTACAGAGTTGCCTTCAGCCCTCATATCCCAGAATGCATTGTGCTGCTCTGCGCCCTACAGTGTCACTCGGGATTAGTACCCTTTTCCCAACATCTATCTGTGAACTCATTTTCCAGGACTTGACTCAAAAGTCACTTTCTCTAGGAAATCTTTGAAGTCCACCATCATTTCCAGATAGAACTGACTGCTAATTGGCCGTTGTCTCCATGTGCCGTCTAGAGTGGCATCCTGTTGCCCTTGGTTGTTTCTTCTCAACTTCCTCTAAGATCATTGAGGGCAAAGACAATGCAATTTGGTTTGTTTGTTTCCTCAAATATGAGTCCAAGGAAAATTACTGGCCCTTAGTAGGTGTCGATCAAGCACCTGCTGTTTGGTTGTCAGACATGATATAGATCACCATCTACAATCTCTTCTTAAAACTGAGTAAAACTTGTCTTAAGCATCACAACATGAGTATTATTTCCTTATTTACAAAAACACTTAAAACATCAGAAACCAGAGTGCTCTTTCCAAATTCCCTGTCCTCCACGTTTTGTTGGGGGAATTGCTTTAATGATGTGCCCTCAGCCACATACAAAAGAGAATGTGAATAGATTAGGATGAGGCTAGAACCAAGAGACCCAACATCAATTCTGAGAGCAACTTATTAGCTCAAACTCTTCTTGTTTTTTCTGTATTGGGTAACACCAGTGAGAAACCAGTGTATTGCCTTGGGTTTCAAGAAACGGAGACTCACTTAAACTGTAACTGGTGTTTCTCATAAGGAAACACATGAACTGACACTGCCTATAAAAAGTCATTATTAGGGGCACCTGGGTGGCTCAGTGGTTGAGCATCTGCCTTTGGCTCAGGTCATGATCCCAGAGTCCTGGGATCGAGTCCCACATTAGGCTTCCCATGGGGAGCCTGTTCCTCCCTCTGCCTGTCTCTGCTTGTCTCTCATGAATAAATAAATAAAATATTTTTAAAGTCATTATTATTCAAAGATTTAAGATAGTTCTAAGACTCATAAATCAATCTCTCTTTACATCACCACACACATCTATTCCGTTTTGGTCCAATCAGTATCTCATTATGCTATCTTCTGCCCAATTACTTTTCCAGTCTTTAGTAGAAATGAGTCTAATTGGCTTAGCTCATTGCCAATCCTTCTGGCTCTACTGCCCATTCAGGGAGAGAAGGGTCAGGGTTAGATTCATATTACTGGTATAATCTGTGAACCCATGGGTAAGTGAGTCTAGCAGGTCGCTGCTAATGGGGGCAAGGCAGTTTCAGCTAGGAGGTACTGGGCATGAAGACAAGACTGGTTCCTAGTGTAACAGAGCTAGAGAGACATCAGGCAACACTGCACAAAAGCCCTACAGGGAGATGAGCCTTCTTGGTTTAAAATCTTTTCTGTCTCTCATGACTTTTTTGAGTCGAAAGTTCCATGACTGCCTGTTACTGACTTTGCCTTCAGATATTGAAACTCTCTTCCTCTCTTTCCTTTTTTAATAACTTCTCTCCTCCATGTATTCCTTTTCTCACCTGCTTTCCACATCCACACATGCTTTTCAGATATTGTGAAGTGGAAAGATGTCAATTATTAAAAGGGAGATGAGGCCTTTGAATTCTTTGTAGGTAGGATGTGCCAAACATTTGAAACTAACTAAAACTAAGATATATTTTCCCTGTTTTCTCACTATTTGGCATTCCAAAGCCTTCAGGAATTCTTTCCCACACTGGCTAAATTCCAACAGCAGAAACAAATATTTACTCATTCCTCTCAAGATATTAGTAAAAATTGCTCTTTTTGGTTATTGCATTTGTCACTCCCTTAACCTTTCATTGGTTAGCTATCAGACATTCAAACCACTGGGAAGTGCATTAAGATTTTAAATGGCTCTATTATGACTATCAAATGGACAAATGTTTCCATCTTACTGTGCTAGGCTTTAGGATGTTGCTTCGAGGTCACCACCTGTCAAGAAGTACCTGTTCATCATGACTTGCTGACTCAAGACCAGTGGCAGCAAGCCGAGGATTCAGAAATGCCTGGAGCAAAATTACAAAGTGGATGGAATTTGTCTTCACCAGGTGCCTCCAGCACTCAGCACCCAGGGTTCTCATGACCCCGGTGGCCTTCTGCTGTTGTGACCATTGGGGCCACCTCTGAGCAGCACCCCTGTTCTCCACCTTTCTAAAAAGCACCTTTCCTTCCCCTATCAAAAGCTATCTGCTCTAAGAAGGGCATTTTAGCTCAGATGCCTCTTACCTCAGGATGACAGTTTCTTAATCTAATAAATGTTAATGTGGTAATGCCACTAAAAGGTTATCTTAAATTAGCTGAAAGTAGTGTTAAAAAGTTAAGACTTAAACTGAAAAAGTAAGGCTGAAATGAGAGATTTTAAGTGTGGGAGTAGGCGTAAAGGTGAAAAGGAGTGGGGGTCAAGGTAAATGGGGAGAGATCTAAAATCCCAGTTGTACCTCATGCCTACAAACTCAACAAGAAGCTACTAGTCTGGTTCCTCAATATGATTCACCTTGAAGAAATTCTCTGTGTTCTGTAATAAAGACCGGCAGTACTGCCACTGGTGCCTCCTCACCTAACATGGTGAAAGCTCTCCTGTTGGTGTATTGTCCCTTCATTTTAAAAGGATGCACAAGTCCCTGGTGTCTTTCTGCAGCAATACAGGTCATGGTGAGAATTTCTGTCACGACAGCAGTAGACTGGACAAATGGCAGCATCTTGCAAATGAAGGCACCTGCAGCAAGGAAACAGGACAAGGTAAAATCATGAATAGAAGTTTTCTCTGTGTTTTTGTAATTGGTGCCATTAATTCTGAGCCTCTGTTCAAAATTTTTAGGACTACATATCGCATTATAGACTCAAAATAACCGAGAAAGGTTGAACTGGCTGATATTTTCTCGAAGTTCCTAAATTATAGGTGATTACATGTAAGAGGACAGTGAAAAGGCAAGTAAGTATCTGATCATTGATAATAGGCAGAAAAAAAAATCAACATGAGTCTTGTCCAAGAAAGAGCAAAGTCAGTGTGAATTGGTCTCCTGGAGTGTCAACTACACAGTAATCGTGGATTATTTCTTCCTTTTTGGTTCTCTGCCAAATTATAACAAAAAAAGAATTCTCATCAGATTCATATTTCTTTTTTTATTTTTTATTCTCCTTTGACTTTCTGTCCATGACCTTACATGTAGATTACATCATTACACCCTTTAACTGATTTCACTTTCTCTAATGCAAAGGTCTTAAACTGATGGCCCCTGGGCAAGATTTGGTCTGCAAACATGCTTTGTGTGATTTACAGAATCTTCTTAAAATATGTGAACACACTGCCAGTATTTTGAAAAGTTCACACTATCTGTCTTGCCCCTTCATCATTTATTTGCAACCCTGGTCTGGTATTTCTGCTCTTGAACCTATCCGCCTCATCACTGTCAAATTAATTACTCTGAATTATCAGAAAATCAGAAGATCAGAGAATATGAAAAGTTGGAAGAGACCTCAGAAGTCATGGAGTGAGTGCAAGCTCTCCCCAAAACCAGAAGCTGTTTTGTCAGCTTCTCTCACAGACGCTCTGCCAAGCTCTGCTTGAGCACCTGCAGAGGAGGCTTCCTTGCCAGCATACTCCCGTCTCAGGCCAATATTTGGCTCTTCTTTTCTGCCTAGAATGATCTTCCCCCAGAGAACTCTCTCACACCATTCATCAAAGTATTTGCTCAGATGCCTCCTTCTCAATGAGGCTGACCTGCTCTGACAGCATATCTGTGACTGAGGTCTGTCCCATTCCCCTTTCACCTCCTCTCATCCCTTATCTCTTATTCTTTTTCCAAAACCCTTTCAACCTTCCAACAGATTACATAATTTACTGATTGGTTTCATTATTTATTAAAAGTTACCTCATGCCTTCCAAAATGTAAACACTCCAACAGCAGGGATTCTTGTCTGTTTTCCTCACTGATACACTTGAAGCATTTGGCATGGCACAAGAGGGCTCTCAACCAACATTCACTGAATTGAAGATAATGAGTAACCCAGGAGGCTTTTAAACCTCTAGAAGTGCCTCCATTCAACTTTAGGAAGGCTCTCACTGGAGAAACTTTTTTTTTTTTTAAATAATTCCACCCACTTCTTCCAGTTTCATTTTCTATTTCTTAGAGTTTTAGAACTAACCAACCATCTTTTCCAGACATCAGCTCTTCATATATTTGAAAGAAGCTTTCTTGTCACTCTTAAGTCTTTTCTGGTTGGCCCAGCTGTTTCCCATTTGAGACACTAATCAGACCTTTCAATTTCTTGCACATCTTCCATGACTTTCTCTGGTTAGTAACTATATGGTCCTAAAGGAAGGAAACCCACTGTCTTCAAGATGAGGTCTGGCTAAAGCAGAAACTGCAGGAGTATATTGCCTCTTTGGGTCTGAACACCTTTTTTCTGTGACTGTAACTAAAATTTACATCAGCCTTTGGTGCTAGAATTTTCAATGGTTGGTTTCTTTTATACTTGAAATCAACCTGAAGTAAACTGTTTAATAGAAAATTATTGTTTTCTTATAGAAAATTATTGTTAATCTAAGATTTTTGTGACTGAGAAAGAAATGTATTCAGATATCACTGTAGATATGACCTTTCCAGTTCTTTTTGGAAGTTCCAAGTTTTAATCCAAAAGCCAATCACCCTCACTCTCAGCCTCTGTTCCAGTTTCCCAAATCCTAACCCTGCTCAAAGTTTCTTTGTCTAGCAAGATAGTTTATACGCTAAATGAACAAATTTATTTTCAATACTAATGTATTTCGCTGAATACTGATCATTACCTTAAATCCTGTTTCAGATGTGATATTTGAATAGAGGTATATGTGAATAAATTATTCATCTGAATATTTCTCCTTTGTCATTTTTTAAAAGTCTGATGAGTTTCTTCTATTCTTTCAACCAAGTTGTTTATTTTTAAAAAATAGTTAGATAGGTTGAGGTTAAAAAAAAACACCAGAAGAACCTTTCCATGAAAAAAACATGGACTTGGGGATCCCTGGGTGGCTCAGCAGTTTAGCACCTGCCTTCAATCCAGGGCGTGATCCTGAGGTCCTGGGATCTGGTCCCACATGGGGCTCCCCGTAGGGAGCCTGCTTCTCCCTCTGCCCGTATCTCTGCCTCTCTCTCTCTCTCTCTCTCTCTGTCTCTCATGAATAAATAAATAAAATTTTTTAAAAAAGAAAAAAAGCATGGACTCATTATCAACACAATTTAGGTGTAAGTATCCAAACAAGAAAGAATTATTATGGTAATGTCCACTGTAGTGTTACCTCATGGTAGTGTTATCCATCCTAAATATATTCATCTTGTCTAACATAATAGCAATAGGAAATTGGTCAACTGATTCCCTGCTATCAAAACAAACTCTGATCCTGATTCACCTTATCTATTAGCACTCTGAGTCTCAATTTCATTATTTGCTAAAAGGGATTAATAACACCCATTTGTCATAGGACTGATGTGTGTGCTTTATAAAATCACATAATACCCAGCACAGGATGTGTTCTTTAATAAATGAAGCTCTTTATCATCCAGAAACCTAGTTAAAAGAACTGAGGTAAATTTGGTACATGCAGAGCTAACAGATTCTTTGTGGACGGATTCTAAACTACCCACTAGAAGACATCTAGTTTTATAACATTTCCCAGAAAGAAATAATGCAGCTTAAAAAACTCAAGTGATTTGCTCATGTCCACAGAGTTGTTTATTGACAGATGAGTGTTTGTGCCTAAGTCATCTGACTCCAGTTCTTTTCACTGTGTCACCTTCACTTATCTTAACACACCTATGCTATCTGGGAGTTTTCTTGTCTCATAAATGTCTAATAATCTGGTTTAAAAATCCACTTGAGAACTTTGCACCAAGCTATAGTAACTCTATAATCCATTATCTTACCCTTCTAATGCATCCAGACACCATTTGCCCAACTTATTACTTCTGCCATTTCTTCAACCAATACTCTAAGAAATTATCTTCAGTGGGTTTTTTTAAAAGATTTTATTTATTTATTTATTTAGAATGCAAATAGGGGGAGGGGCAGAAGAAGACGGAGAAAGAGAATCTCAGGCAGAGTTTGTACTGAGGCAGGAGTCCCACACAGGCTTGATCCCAGGACCCTGAGATCATGACCTGAGCTGAAACCAAGAGTCAGATGCTTAATGGACTAAGCCACCCAGGAATCATTTTCCAAGGTCTAGAAGACTAAAGCAACATAGGTATTGAAGAGTTTGTATTTTTTTTTCTCTGCCCTTCATTAAATTTCCAACCCTCCCTTCCTTTTTCAGCTCCTTGCACTGGTAATCTCTGTGATAACTCTTTAGTCAGCTTGTTCTACATTTTAGTCTTCCCAATGTAAATTCCCAGGTCTGAGCTACTTTGCAAGAATGTGTCATTTGTGACACTTCTTCCTATAAAGGGCAATTTTAAACTGAGGTAATCCTAGAATTCCCTATATAGACCACTGTTTTCTTGGAATGTCCTTCCCTTTTTTCCTTATTGGATTATCTGACCTTAATATCAGCTTGTGTTTCTTAGAGTCTGCTTGGAATAGCTGTTTCTCATAATTCGATTATCCAGGCTCCACCTGTATTTTCTAGCAGCAACACAATCTCCTCTGGTACACAAACTCTCTCCTATGTGGGCAGATAAGGTAAGCAGCCCTGCTAGGGAAGACAAAGAATTCTCACAAAGAATCTATCAGCTTCCAATGTTCCAAATTTACCTCAGTTCTTTGAATCTGTTGAAAGAATGCAACAAAAGTGGAAGGGGGGATTGAGGTGCTACAGTGCTATGTTCACTGGATCTTGAGTGTTAACGGACCACAGCTTAGTTACTGCTGCTGACTTCTGAGGAACCTTGGTTCCTCAGTAACAGACCCATTCCTCCAGCTTTACACTGATTCTATGAGCCTCCCACATCCTTCTGGTACCTTCCTATCTCTTAAGCCACTTAGCTATCAATAGTTGCTTATGACCAAGTAAACCTCTTTGATATACTCTATTTTTATTATCTTTCCTCTAGAAGATGGATTTCCTAAAATGTAGAAATCTCTGGATAGTGTTCCTTCTGTGTATATTGCTAATTCTAAGATAACACAGTCCAAATCCTACTATTACAATTTACCTCCATTGCTGCTTCCATCTCTACTCTGTATGGCTCTTGCATTAGACGCTGCAAGTCTCCTTTGACTACTCGATGAGGAACAAATGCTTTGGTTTTACTATTTATTGCCTTCTACTTCCAATCTTACCTTATTTATACAACCTTATTTTCTAGAACATGAGTTCTGTTCTGGACATGAATGGTGCTCACTGTATCTACTCAATTCTGCCCTCACCTCCTACGTACACAGTGTGGGTCTTGTGACTCAAATAGAAACAAGACCTCCTTATTTCTAAAAATGATGCTTAGAAATTGGGAACAATTTGACTTGCATTTGTTTTCACCCTAGTGTAATGGTGATTTTAAAACTGACCCAATGGGAAAGACAGAGTAAAAAGAACAGAATATTCACATGTAGAAAAATGAAAAGATTCTTTTAATTTAGGAAATGGCATCATGAACTATAATTGCATAAAAGTATCTAATGATAGCCATTCTCTGAAGAATTTGTTCCCAGGTTTGGTAAAAAAAAAAATGTAAATAGACATTTGCAGTTTCTATTATTAAAAAAAGACTATATAACCATTATTTGAAACAATGCTTTAAAATA